CTTTAGCGTTGAAGTCCACATCAGTTATTCAGTTCTTTGTCAATGTGTTGGCTTCTCCACAGTCTTTCTTCACTTTTCCAACTACAAATTGGTTAACCCTGATTATTTATTAAAACTTACACGATTAACATGATCCCTGAGCACGTTGGAATAAACCATTGCTACAGCTTCTAAGGCCATAAAAGTGATAAAACCAATTACCCATAGTACAACAAAAGCGCAGTTTTCCTGTGAAAATCAAAAGGGAGTTGAAGTTATCGATTGGATAGAATCAATGAAACAAAAAATGTTGGTTAAATTATTTTTCGAAAGTTTTTTCCTTCAAAGAAATAGAAATCTATCTCCGTACCGAAAATGTTTTCTGCTTTGAATTTGATGTTGTTGTCAATCCACTTATTTGAACAGCATTTATTTTTATCAAAAATAAAACGGCAAAGTAAAACTTCCTACAAATGATGTACATAATTTTACGATGTTTTATTGAAAACAAAAACTTTCTTTTTATATAAATTGCAAACCTCCGTGTCTTTTTTTGAAGCATTACTGAAGAATGTCCTATTTAGTCTGATGCAAAGAAGCTTCATTCTTTCTGAAAACTGATCGAACTTTTCGATACATTTCATGTTTTTTTGCGCACAAAGTCCGTTTTCAATAGCCGAGAATATGTCACAATGTGTCTTTGTGGTTTGAGGTTGAGCAAGCATTTGTAAACTTATCCTTTCTTCGGTTCATTAAATTTTTAGAATTGAAAATTTATTACGTCTTCATCCGGTTCGTTAAAATCTTACGATGGCAAAGATTTGGCTGCGAGGAAAATCTGTATCCTTTTGAAGAGTTCAAAGCAATATCGTTCGGAGAAATGGGTTGATTGTGATGAACATAGCTTTTTGTTTGTTGACTGTATATTTCATTCATTTGAAAGATGTATTCATGCTTGCAATTTGTTTTTTTTTCTCTAATGGTTATTCAGGTCGAGTTATTGTTGTAATACGTCAAATGGCTATTGATATGATGATATGATTACTGAAAATCCTATATTATATTTTCTTCAATATTACGTGTACCGCATATTAAAAGGAGTGATTTTGATAAAACATCAAACTCTTTTCATTGTGCGCTGATGTTAATAACATCAAAGATACATCAAACTCCGCGGAAATAATATCAAAATGAAAAAAACAAATTTGGGTTAATAAAAAAGAACAAATCAAATGTTGTACGATTGAAGTGAACGGCGTGCATGCAAATATCATGGAATTTATACAAAAATAGGTGGCGAATATTGCGTACGAGTATGAGTAGACGTCGTGGGAATGTCTAAAAATATAAATGTATGTGTATTCGCCGTTTGTGCTTTCCCCTAGAATTCAAGATACACTAAGCCGTTTGTTTCAAAGTGCCAAAGGAGCAAAAATAATAGCAACATGTTATTGTGTTTAACGAACGAATAGCAAAAGACAAATATACAACAGACGCCAAATTATTCGAAATTCCGACTTGCCTCACACGCTCTGTATACATCAATATCAGAAACAAGCGTTAAAATGTTATTAAATGTTGTACATCAGCCGTTTTCTTTCTTCGGAAAAAATTCGAATATTGTTTTGTATACAATATTGCTACAATAAATGAATGTGCGAGAGGAATGTTGCAACGTGATAATTCTGTAGAATAAAAAGGCGCACATTTGTTTACGAGCCAGTGTACAATTGAATAAAAGGTGCGTGAATTGATTTTCATGCAAAAACAATGTAGCTTTGTTCCTTTCACACATTCAAATGTGCTCTATTGTTTTTTTTTCTTCTCTGTAGTTAAATGCCGAGTCGGCATAGCCGACACGAAAGTTTCGAATACATATAGGCTCATTGTTGTTTCGTTTGTTGCGTTATATCGTAAATTTGTGTACCGACACTGGTCTATGCCGCTGTTCCATTTTCTTGTATTTTTATTGCGTTCATTTTTTGTTTTATTTTATGTTTCGGTAATTCCACTCGGTATTGCTGATTCTGTTTGCCTCAGTCGCATTTTTATCGATGTCTAAGCATTGGCGGTTTTGTTGCTACTAATAGATATTAGAATATGTTGCATACGATAAAGATGTGGCAACAAACAGAAGCGCTAAATTGAGAAAGAAAGGCGAAAAGCTTACAGATAACAAACCACAATCACCATACGGAGTATGGCGCCAAACAAAAACATGCAAAAGAGAAAAGGGGGAAAATGGCCAGAAATAGACACAAGGTGACGAAGAAGACGCACATCTTATTTTGATTCGTCGTCGTCGGCGTCCTCGATATTGTTTTTTATTGCATGTATGTGGGTTTACCGGTGGGAATTTTTATTACACTGTCTGACGCCTTTAAAATTATATCAAAATAAATCACCGTAAATGAGGTAGAAATGTTTAATGCGAACAACACATTATGTATACCTAAACGATTGTACAAGCTACAAAGTACATCGTTACAATGGAAAATAAAAGTAACACGCCAATATGGCATTCAGAAGAAAATGCCATTCAAAGCCATTTCGAAATTCATGGTTTACCTAAACTAGCGGCTTTCACGCGAATGTCTACGCAATTAATATTGAAAAAGTGCGAAAATTGAAGCAATATTAAGAAACAAGTAACAATCATTTGTATCCCATCGGATGGAATTATGCGCATGATAAATTATGATGGTTCGAAGAATATGTTCCACTAAAAAAATCGACAAGCTTCATTGGTTAGGAAGTTTACCTAGCAAAAGCGTTTACCTGTCTACGACATTGCCAATGCTGTGCATGGTTTCGGAACGATTTATTTAAAAGTGCTATCACGTTCAGACACGTTCTATTTGACACAATCAAAACCTTCACAAATGTTTGCTGTTGAATGAAAACGACGCCTAAGTTCCGATCATCCATTTCATTTTCCGATGTCAGAATGTATGAAAAAAGCAAATAAGCCAAAGAGGCAGACATCGGAAATTAAACATGCATTTGTGCTCTTTTCACACTGGCCAGTGAACATATCATTTTTGAGATGATGGACTTAACCATTCAGCACATTTGGTTTGCGACAACCTCTACCATTTTTTTCGGAGACATGTTTGGGAAATGATAATTTTTATGTGCTCAACATTTCATTTGATATGGTAGGTCTGAAAGAGAATATAGTACTGTGCATGCGTTGAAGTAACGCAATATACACTGGCACCTATCGTAGCAAATATATGATAGATCACTGCTATGTAGTTGGCATCAGTTCTGCCGTTTCTGCTCGCAATTGATCCAATAAACGCGCATCCCACATATCTAGTTTAAAAATATAACGTTCGTCATATGAGAATGAGAGGCTGAGAAGCAAATTAGATTTTATGTAACGGTATCCTAACATTATTATTAGACAGCGTTGATTTCAAATCCGGTTGAAGAATTTTGCTTCGAAAAATGCGACAGAGTTTAGTTTTTAGCCGAATAAATTCATTTGCTGAAAATTCATCCGTGCCGGTATTCTAAGTCATTCCACCAAAATCTTTCGGAATTATTTTTTCGTACGTAAGACTATATTGCAGTGAAAGAGAGAGATTCCATTAATTTTCATCATCTCATCGGAATTATCCCGATAACTCATCGGGTGGTGATAGTTATCGCAATATACATTGAAATCATCCCCTCAACCGTTTTATATTCTCCTTCGTATCAAATAAGGCTCAGAGCTAAATTTATTTATGATTTCAATGCCCAACCGAATACCATGCATCAAACTATATATTTTTAGACTTGTATGCTCATTAATTATGTACTTGAATTATGCGTTTAAACGTTTCAAAGACTTTATTCCATCTTGCACCGAATTAAAATGCACATCCAATTTAATGCGTTTAATTTTCAAATGTTTGACTAATAGATGTTGAGAGTGAGAGTGAAAGCGAGAGCACAGAGTAACTATTTTATGCGTTTATTCAACATTGCTACTGAATATTTCATACGGTAACAGAAGCAATTTATTAGAATTAATGAAGTCATTGGCTATATGCCAATTAACCAATGAAGCGTTGGCCTGTTATCTAAATGGACGCTGTGAACTGTTCGTGCATCAAGAAGTTCACTCTAAACACTCTCTTTTGGTTGAGAACACCGTAAATAGTTGCCATTTGTTTACATGTTAAAGAAGAGTTTTTGGTATTTAGCTCAGTTTACATGGTCCTTTCAAGCGCGAAGAATAAAGCTTTTGTTCAAATTTCAAATTACTTATGCTGCAACAACAGTAAGCAGCACATTTTCCTCGCTTTGTCACCAGGTATTTTACATAGATAGTGCGCAAAAACAACTTACCCGATAAATTCCATATATAAGCGCAATGCTCAGCACAATCACCGATAACTGTGTGCCAATTATGATAAAATACGCTATTTGAACACCTGAAATTACAAAGTCAAAAATGAAAATAGAAAAAAAGGTGTTTGAGTCACAAATACCCCAAACTGAAGATAAAAAGTTCGTTTGATTGCCTCGAATGTAAAGTTTAGAGATGCATGATAAATATGAATAGAATACATTGAAAAAAGTTCAATTTGGAAAAAAAGCGACCTTTTGTTTCGGTATAATTTTTTTTCTTTTTCTTTCTCAAATGTAGATATGATTTTTAATTTAATCAAAGATACTTAATCAACTTACCGTAATAAACGTCCCCCAATTCATTTGTCTTTTTCATATTCATGCTGATTCTCCAGACATACACAAGAACAACAAAAATCGATACATTCTGAAACATTGGAGGGAAAAAATCAAGCAAATGAATACCAATGGAAATACGAATGTAAAAGGAAGCTTAGAAACAATGTTGGTTCGAATAGTCCTTCAAAATGAATTCATGATTTCATTTTCATATGCACACAGAGAATTTGGTTGGGAAAATATAATTTAAATTCTGGTAAATATAACATGGCTCATTATCAGAACTTCCCCATGAGGTTTTTCATATTTGACACTATAAAACGAATACATGTAAAGCAGACGAGCTAGTTTTTTTTCTGGGAAATTGCACAAGCAAATTGATGCTGCATAAATGATGTCATTTTCCAAGGTTTTTACGCTTTCATTAACTGAACCGTAACTCTCAACAGAATTAATCGACCTTATAGAATATCTGCCATGAGCTTACCCAATTCAAATCATACCTGAAAAATATTTTATGTGTAAAATCTATCGATATATCGAGCAGTTGGAATGTTAACTTAACAAAAATTGATTTTAGAAGCCACTTGGAAAATACGAAAATACATTTGATGACTTGTTGGAAATTATCTCTTCATCAGCGGTTCGAAGGGACAATGTTGAGGGACAAATCGAGAGGGACAACGTTTGTGCCGTAGATTGTAAAAAAAAGAGCGTTGTTATTATTGAAAAGCATAAGTAGAGCGTGTAATTGGGCATTTGAATGCCCCTTGTTGCGTTTAACCAGATACAATAGTGGCTATTTGGCATGCATACACACGAACAACACACAGTGCTCTTTATGTATAATAATGTATGTTCTTTCTTGCCGTGATGTGCACGTACAGGCAGCTATTTAGTATGTCTAAATAGCTACTATGATATCTGGTTGAACGCAATACGAGATATTTAAATGTCTCAGTACACACTGTGGCGAAAAACGAAGAGTGGAGAACGGTGCGTGTGTTTTTTTTCCTTGTCCCTCCAATCAACGCAATGAGATCGGACATTTTTTTTCGATGAGATTATCGTGTAATGTTCATAATGTATCTGAAAAGCCGCCGTATAACGAGACGACTGAAAATATCATGGTTTTTCATTATACTTGCTTATCAAGCATTAAATTTCTCTCCAGCTTGACATACATTTTCTCGTGCAAATATTTACCATGTATTTTCCAGTGACAAATGGTTTTTTTTCAAGTTTCCCCATCTTTTTATACAATAAAGCTATTCATACACTTTTTTGCGCTAAAAAAAAGCACTTGAATTGTAATGATAGTTCAGTTATAAAATATTTTTTTCAACGCGTCGCCAAACGAACACAGTTGGCTATTTGTGAAATTAATTATTGAATTTACCACACACTGCATACTGTGGTCATATGCAGTCGCTCGTTTACGTTAGTGGTGCCTTTTTTTTGCTCAATTGCATTTTTCTCTACATATGTTACAGTACTTATAATACGCTGGTTTGTGCTCTTGTGGGTAATGAATTGTTATTATTCCCAAGTTAAAAAGCTTCAGCAAACTGTTTCTCACATTACTCTGATACGTTTCACTAAAGTTTCGTTTTTGTTCCGCTATTTTTAGTAGTTGGTCTATCTCGTCTGAAAGCCAAAGTGGGCTTGAGAGCGCAAATCAGATAACGCTACGGACAAAAATAATAATTGGTCTTTTCGAGCCATTTTGATAAGTATCTTTTTGAAGGTTCAAAAAAATTCTACCCACATTTTCTCAATGTATACATCCAAGCACGAATATTGTTCAAGCAAACCAATGATCAAACAAACCGAGAGAAAAAAATCACACATTTTTTCCCCCAAATACAAAAACCTTCGTTTATGTGTTTTTCATTTTATTCAAAGACCGAAGGCAGTTAAACGCCTTATTTTTTCCTCTGTACCGTCGTATGATGGGTATTTTTCTATTTATTCCTCGTCGACGTCTCCTCGAAAATCGATTAGTAAGCAGCAAATAAGTAACATTGAAAAACATTCAATGTATGCGATGGCATTGCCCAAAAAAAAAACAGAAATCGAGACAGTATGTACAGGGGAATAAAAGCACAACGATAGCTATTTTCCAATTGCTCAAATGCTTAAAAGTGATGACAGCACAACGGCCGCTTCATTCGGACTGTCCACTTTTATGATACACATACGATACACATGTGGAATGTGGTTATGTCAACAATAACAACAGTAACGATGATAGAAGTAGAAGCAGCAATATATCGCAATCAATGACCCTTCCACTAGAACGTGCACGTGCATTGGGTTGCAGAAAAAAAGACACATAAATTAATCCAGACACAGTTTATTGTCTTACATACGAAAGAACAACTTTTCTATGCTGTTAAAACTTATAATTTTTGACGAAAAAATTGTGGTTTATTATGCTAAATTCGGCACCCACGAAATTCAAGGCGGAATGATGTATGGGCATTCCGGAACGATTTTAATGGATTTTTCGGCGCACTGCTTATCTGTAGAAAACAACCGTAAAAACGAGTGAAGGCTGTGATTTATGTTTGCAATGGAAATCCTATCCATCGCTGTTGTGCGTATAAGAGAAAGCTTGTGTTTTTATATGTTGCTCGATTTGGGTTGTTTGTAGACCATTTTATTTGTTTTACCAATTGAGTTGAATAAATAATTTGAAATTTAATACTGAACTAAATATTTTCCAAAAAATGAAGCCCGACGTGGACCGTGGAAGTAATTTTATGAATGCGGGTGTATTGCTTAAATTTTCAAAAGAACAAGCACAGTTGATTTTTCGAATGAATCTTCCAGGTGCCGTTATATGATATGATGCAGTGCCACTGATGCCGTCTTTTTATTAAATACTTAGATTTTGTTTATGTTTAATTTTACTCAAAACAAAAATAATGTCGGCGGCGAAATTCAAGTCTGAGAACACGTTGAAAACATTTCACATTTCGAGAGATGAATGTAAAAAATAAGTCTGGTTATATAGCTACACCACTTTGTATGCAGAATATCCAGATACAAAGTAAGGATCACCTTTTCATGAGATTGTGGAAAATTACAATACTTTTACACCCATAGTGTGTTTACAAAGTAAATGGCGAACCGAAAAAATCTGTAAAAGCAAGGGATGGAGAGTGAAAGGGAGAGAGAGAGAGAGAGATGGTCCGAAAAAATCGAGTTAGGAAGTGAGGGCATATAGGAAAGTTTAAAAGTTTTGTTCATGGTGTTGCAAGAATGTAATTCAATGTTGGTCATGTAAAACATGTACACAACGATTGATAGAACAACTGTGTACATAAGGATTGAATGATGTCGGCCGCTTTTGGTTATCTCTTTCTCTTTTTTTTTCTCGTTCCTTCTAGTAAAATGCTGTCAAAAGATAAACAATGTAATGGGACAGATTCTTCGCTTGAACAATGTCAGCTGAAAATTTTAAGTCTTTTTTCGGTGTAAAGACAATATAATCTGCATAGGATGAACGATAAAATGTGAGAGCACACATCGGCCACCAGGCAGAAATTGTGCAATGCGTAGATATTCAACATTGTGGACAGAACACATCAGACGAGCACAGGCTATAGCTTTTTGGAATGGGTTCATGTATGAAACGCCTTATTCAATTGACATTTTCTTTTTTTCTTCATATATATTTTATCTACCTCTTTCTCTTTCTCTGCAGTCTGTTCCCATGTCCCTTTATCTAACTGTTTACATATTCTTTGGACCCATTTTCATGCCGACGTTTAATTTTTTGCGGTGAGGCGATTTCACACCACATCGACCAGGAATTACAATGACTCTCTCAAAATCGGCTGGTTTTCGATAGGAATACAGAAAGTCAAAATTTTATGGTCAGTTTTAGCACAATTTTTGAAAACCGAAATTCCAAATCGGTCTCTCATGACGTTTTTGTCCAAAGAAAATTACTATTTTTGGTGAAAAAAAAAAAAAACATGAAGACTCAAACACCGATTTTTCTAAAAATTTGTTTGAAATCGTTGTTCAAACAGTTTCTCATAGCGAAAGTATCATATATGTGTCGCTGAGCATAAAAATGGGGATACAGATCTGTTAGAGCAACAACCGAACATAAAATATTGTTCTCTAAAAACGTTACATGAATTTCTATCCAACGCGAGTGTAACATGAGCTAATACTGTTTCTAATGCAACTCATGTTGGATGGAAATTTATGTAACGTTTTTAGAGAACAATATTTTATGTTCGGTTGTTGCTGTAACAGATCAGTATTCCCATTTTTATGCTCAGCGACACATATGTATTTAGGGTAGTTCCCTTTAGTAAGTTTTAAGGGTAGTTTTTCAAATCATGTTTCAGTCACAAAAATTTGGATTGAAATACTGATTCGAAACTAAAGTAAAGTGATGAACAAATTAAAAGACACATCAAAAATGTTCCCAAGGTAAAATCGATATAGTTAAGCAAAATATAATGACTTACCAGTGTATAAATGGCACCTGATAGAGCCACATTTTTGGCATGAACAATACGACAACATCGGTTTGTTGAACCTCTGGAGCGTGTTTCTAGGTACAAAAGGGCTGATTTCATTTTTTTCCTATTTACATTTGGCATTAGAAATGATATTTTATGTATTGTGTTTGATGATGAACCGGCCTTTATCTCTGACTCTCTATTTTTATGTTTTTCTCCCAATTACGAACTTCCGGACACTTAATACGGAAACTTGAAAAAAAAATGGTTCAAAATCATCGTCTTGTTGGTTGGTGCGTCTGTTTGCTTGTTCGTTGCTAAATATTTCCGCTTCACTTCATTTTGTTCATCGATTCGAAATTGTCGTATTCATTTGATGATTGAGACATCTAATAGAGAGCGTAGAGAGAAATGAGAGATTCTCCTTTTCTATTTATTGTACCGCTTGTGCCAGCTTTGAGTCTCCAGATACACACTTTTTCACACAGGAAACATCACTGCCATCGGAAAACATTTATCTGCAGAACAAAAAGGCGGAAGTAATCAAAATTATTACAAATTCAAAAGCAGACACGGGACGGCAAATAAATGAAATTTAAGGCTTTTTTGGAGTTGTCTTGCGATATATCAATAAATCGATGAAACTTTTTAGTTTCACTAGAAAAATTAGTTGTAGCACGTGCATTGAAACTTTTCAACAGTACCATGGACTTTATGCAAGATTTAAAAAAGTCGATACGCAATCGTTCGGCTGTGTTTTTAAGTTAAGAGCTTTAATATACTACAAAGTTCATGCATGCGACTTTATTTATCTCATTCTCACACGCAATCAATCTATCTGTCACAGACACAAGCTCATTCACTCCTTCACACTATGTTTATCTTGCATACCTTTCTTGAAATCTCTCATAGCAACTTCCACGTTACTACAATTTAGTGGCAGTATGTATGGTGTTCAAATGAGAGCGGAAATAAATTTCCTGCTAGAAACATGAGAACATTTGAATAGAAACTATAGAATATTTCAATAAACAAATGCTCAAGTCGGGAATGCGCTATGTATTAGTATATTAGTTTTGTGGAACTCGATTGATAGCAGCGCCCCCTTGATAAATAATCTAGAGTTTGTAGAATCGGTACGAAAATTGGAAACATCACATCAAAAATGGGTGGCATCTTATCTATAAGAAGGTGACCTTTCCAAGGTCGCTTTCTTCGTATACAAATACATGGGAAAGCTTTGTCGTAAGACGCCAAGACGCCTCTACGCGTGAAATGCTTGAAACTGTCATCGTACACATATTGAACACGAACATTGTCGTTTACACAATCGCACTCACACAAATGAACGCATCGATATATGTACGATGAATGTTTTGAGTGTCCCTCGCCTAGAGGGCTGCATGTCGTTTGTCTTCGTTTATTAAGCGATCTTGTCTTAGGCTTTCAATTGTAGAAAATATACTGTAGTATCAGTTCAGTGTGTAGTTGGCGTTAACAACCATTGACTTGAAAACATACATTGTGTACCAAATATGGTGTGATGTCTCAACGAGTCCAAAGCGAATGGAAGAATTGTTTATACTACATCAAAGTCACTTGAGCCATTTATTTCTTTGTCCTCTAATGGACGGAATGGTATAGTATACCATTGGTGTACAAGATTTGATATAATCTAGAATGGATCATGGCACTTATAAAATAAAAAGAATACAATTGAAAGAAGCTAAAAAGGAAGAACATACAGGCATACACACAGAAAACATCGAAAATGACACAAACAGTTATACTAACATAAGAGTGCGTGTACAAATGCCAATAAAACCCATTCAATAAAGACAAAAATCGAAATGGGGATATGTGGTGCTCGCAAAAGTAAATGCACCCACCGTATCACCAGCCTTAATGGATCACGTGTGGATAAAACTAAATAAAATTTACCATGTACCTACATCGACAATCTACTCTACTCGAAGCACTTAAATTGAATATATAAAGGGAAAAGAGAGCTGAAGATGTGAAATTACAAACAAAACCATTGTCGAAGTATTTTTTAGATTACGTGTATATTTCTACAAATTGCATGTAATTATTGACTTGAGAGAAGCCAAAGTGGCTGTATGTGGATGATATAGAGATTGAAGTACAGCCTGTAGATTTTTCAAGCAATTGCTTAGCATCAACATAGAATATCCATTTATTCACTTCCTCTGATTACAGAATGCTTTCGATGTCAACAGTGAAAAAGCATTGATGCTCTTGAGCTTTCAACTACGGCAAAAAAAAATATCTCGTAGGCTCATCGCGTCTTAATGGGGGCATTCAGTAAACATTTAGAGAGTTTCTCTTTTCCATTTGTCCTTACATCGCAAATAATTTGCTTTTTTCTTCTTGACTATCAACGGGCATTCGCTTTAGTTTTAGCTGGGACGGTTTGATTGAATTTTCGTTGAGTGCGGGGACATAGAGTAAATTCGAGATAAAATTCACAGTATGTTTTCGAGATTATACGATGCTTGAAAAATGTCGAGTGTATCTAGAATCGCATCGAAATTGTTTGCACTTATATGCTTTTAAGTCTTGACCATTAGTAAAATTGAAAGAGTGGCATGAACAAGTTGCTGTAAGCGGAATGTTCCACATCTTTCGCTCGCTTTTCATTCTCTGCCTCTCCTAGTTTGAGTCATGCATTAGGAATGTACGAGCAAACTGGTACCACATTACACATAAGGCTACTTCATTTTTATCTGTTCAGTGTGCATTTTTTCCCTTTTTATCCACAGAAAAGAATTATGCTCACTGTTTGTATCAGCCAGAGATAAAAGTGAGGGAAATTCACTCCTTAATTTTAACATATTCACATCTTCCACAATCTTATCATGAAATGAAGTTCTTTCGTTTCTGTGGCGTCTCCCCCAAACAGAAAATAACAGACCTCGTTATTCAAACCGTATGTATTTATTGTTTATTATTAATTAATATCAAAATACCGTGTTATTAATAACAAATTTTGTCAATAACATTAATACTTATAGCTAATGGCATATTTTCCAAGGGTGTTCTATTACATTAATATATTAATGCCGGTAAATCTGTAATTCAAGCTTGTAATGACGAAACATATCATGCTAGCTTTATCGTATTGTGTACACACATTTCTTATTCACTATGATTATTGTTTTCATCCTACACCTTCCAGGTGTTTATCCATTCGAAACGATAATATGAGCACAGACAAAACCGATTTATATTCTGTTTGATCTATGTTAGCCATCTAAATAGCCCATTACAATTGTCGATAACATACATCAAACCATTTGTAATGGTCGTGTTAGAATTGGCATTGCGCATGAGGCATGCCAAGCTGCTTTGCCAACTTTTTCCATACACACATACACACACACACACACACACACACACACACTGTTTGATTACGTCAAACTCGAACTTCTTATAAATGCATAGCAATTATTATAATAAGCGAAATGTGTATGCAGCACATTAAAAAAAGATGATTTCACTGATATGTTTGTAACTTATTCCGCCCTATTTCGATATTTTCATGCATCGAAACGTTATGGTTGATAGTCATAACTCTCGAGTTGCATGTACCTCCTCAAGAAATCGCATATATATATATATATATATATTGCTTCATTTTCTTCTCATTTTCAATTTTTCCCCGAACAAACTAGCAAACTTGTACAAAATTTGTTGATATTCGAAGAAATCAGCATAGTTTTACATGCAAAGTATATGAATATGAATATGGATCTGTTACAATTACTAACCGATTCAAAACGTAGGAGGAAACCACTCTTTCAAATTACATCGGAATTTTTTTCAAACAATTTAACACATCTCTATGTTAGGTATCATTGATACAATTTCTTGGAATAATTTTTTCGAAAAAACGTTTTTCTAAAGTAATTTAGAATCCCCTCTTTTAAATCAAGAGATTATGAACGAAATTTATTTATTCACAAACTCCTTAGTTTCGATGTAGTTACATGAAGAACATCCCCATGAAGAGTAGCAGTATAACAATTTTTTCCATACTCCAATTCAATTTCTTTTCCGAACTTTCTTCAAGTCAATAAATTCTTTTATTTAAATTGTTCAAGAAATATTTCAGAGGAAATAATTGAAAAGCTCATGTTTTTGTTGCCATTGCAGAAGAGAGAAAAAAAACGGAATCATGTACCGAATCATGAAAGAACTTGAACTTATGCAGAATAAAAAAAATTGAATTGCTATATCTACGCTGGCTTCAGTGCGAGTGAATATAAGTTGTGGTATTTGCGTGCAAAATGTTACCAGTAACAATTTGAACATCACATTTGTTGTTGCCGCTATTGCCGTTCCACGAAGAGTAACTTTGCAACAACACATTTCCGAATCTATTCGTCGCTATAATTTTGGTGGAAAGTATGAAAGAGTTTTTCAGCCTGTTAAATCTATGCGAAACCGACTTATTGACATGCTTCGCAGCTCACAACAGGCATCTGCAAAATGATTACGCATCCATGTCATGTGCTTGTGCGTATCATCATATAGTATGTTGCATATCACGTACTTGTGTAACAATAACACAATCTGAAGATTTTATGAGCATGCAATCATATGGGACATGACTTATTCGACGGCAGGAGAACGAGACGGCTAGAAAAAAAGAAGAACGAAAGGCAGATGTTTTATATTGCTCTAGTAAAATAAATGAAAATTCTTTGGTTTTTTCATTGATGAGACCGATTTACTGGGGCAGATTATCGGTTGTGTATCGAAATTTATGAATATCGATTGGGAATATAGAGGACAAAGAGCAAACGACGACCGAACAAAATGGAAAGTTATTCGAAATGAAATGTGTGCTTAAGTAACTTTTCGATCCTCCCTCGGTCCAAGTTCACTTCTTGTTTTTTCTTCTTCTATTTATTCACTGTTCACTAGGCAACAACTTCTGTAATCCATAGATAAAAAGTTCTCATTGTATGTATTGTATGTAGGATAGCAGTGAATCGACCGAAATTTCGAATGAAACGGAGAGAAAGATACAGATTCACACAATAGCGAACACCAACCACACACACACACACACACACACACACACATAGAGAAAGCGAAGAAAATTGAAATTCAATTTCAGAAGGCGTTTTCTCAGTCGAGAATATTGAAATCGAATATTAGTTTGAGAAAAATCATTGAATGGGCCATTCATTAAGAGCATGTCGCGATACATTGCCTCGTCTAGATCTCATCCATTAATAAAGGACATTCGTTGTCGTTAGCAATAAGATGAACTAATACAGCATTGAATGTGTAATACCATTCATTCAGCAACAGCAAACATTCAAGTCTCTGATTCAAATGCTATTTCCACTCAACAATTTCTTGACTTTAAGTGAATGTGATGAATATCGAATCGTGATAATTACGCGTATTGGCTTTTATATACATTTATACAGATGAATTGAACGATTCATGAAGTATTCCCATTGATATACTTTCAGGGGCTAAG